CAACCCCCCCAGGGATCCCGGGGACTCCCCCCTGCCCTGGGCAGCCCATTCCAACGCCCAACAGCCCCTTCTGCACAGAAATCCTTCCTCAGAGCCAGCCTGACCCTGCCCTGGGCAGCTTGAGGCCATTCCCTCGGGGCCTGGCGCTGGGGCCTTGGCTCCAGAGACTCATCCCCCCTCTCTGCCCCCTCCTGGCAGGGGGTTGTAGCTGTTTCAAAACCACCCTTACCCAGCATTTTGACAGTCTGCGTGTGGGCCCTTCTCCTGCCCGTGGCCCGGCAGCCTGGCAGGCGCTGCCCGCTCCGCCGGAGCCTCCTGCAGATGAGTCCGTAGAGCAGCGTCAGGCACAGCATGGGCAGGAAGAAATAAACGGTGGAGACCCAGGTCATCGCCTCGAGCAGCCCCGTGCGGGCCACGCGCTCGATGGACCTGCACTCCCGGCTCTCCTGCGGCACGCTGCCATGGGGGTGTTCCACCCCGAAGAGGAAGAGGATGGGCCCGGCGGTGAGGAGGGAGCAGCCCCACAGCGCCAGGATGACCCGTTTCACCCGGTATTTGGTGACAGTGGCTTTGGCTTTCAGGGGAAAGCAGATGGCGAAGTACCTCTCCACGCTGACCGTGGTGATGTGCAGGATGGTGCAGTACGTGCACGTTTCGCTCAGGTAAATGAAGAATTTGCAGAGAAAATCCCCAAATATGTAGGGTTTGTATTTCCAAAGGCGGTAGAGGTCCGAAGGCAGGCCAAGGAAAATGAGCGTGTCCGACAGCGCCATGCTGGACAGGTACATGTTCACTGTCGTCCTCATCTCCTGCGAGCGTCTGAAGATAACGATCGTTATCAAATTCCCCGAAACCCCCATGAAAAACAGGACGATGGAAATTATAGTCACGGGCACCAAAATATGGACATCGAACAGAGAAAAAGACTGATCTTCAGAGGAGCCCGTGTCATTCCTGAAATAGCTGTGATTCGAGCGGGAGCCCATGTCTGGTTTCAAAGGCAAGGGCAGGGCTGGCTTTGTTTTCCCCCTCAACAGAAACCCAGGTGACGGTAAGAGAGAGAGAGAGAGAGAGACACGTTGGACATGAGCACACAAGCACCGACCATCTACGCAACAATTCTGATGGGATCAGTTAAAAAATTTACACTCATACCCATTTGGCCGATGAAGATAAATACCCAAGCGCCGATGAGTCTGTTCTACAAGAAGCAAAGGAGTATGAGAGTCACACATCCAGCATTCGCCGGGCACAAGCTTTTAAAAATATTGTCTGTTATATTTGCCGTGCGGAGATTTACCCTCAGCTGCGCAGTGTTTGGAGAAAGGCCGTTTTTCACATTTCCTTTCGCGTCCCGTGGATCCCACGCAGCGCAGGGAGCCGGGTCTGGCTGCGGGATGCGGCCCGACGGCGGAGGACTCGCGAAGAGACGCCTCCTCCCGACGGGAGCGGGATGGGAACAGCCTCTCGGAGCCGCCCGGTGCTGCCAGGAGAAACCTCGAGGCTGCAGCGGCGTCCGGGCGCGGCCCGGCCAGCCGGCGGGTCCCCACGCTTCGCCAGGAGGTCCCCGGGGTGCTGGAGCTCTGCGGTTTCTGAGCTAATCGGCGGGGGCCGCTTGAGTTTTTGGGGCTGTTGCCCATTCTGTGGTCATCCATCTTCCTCCCTCCACCTACACACCGCTAATGGGGCACCAAATACCCACCCACACACACACACTCTGCTTTTCTCCTTAGCCTGCAAAAAGTGCCTGTAGTTACCAAGTAGGGTAGAAGAGTTCTTCGATACTGGAAATTTAATTAGCCCATTTGGGCTGGTTACATAATTTTCCATCATTCAGTGTTTACTTAGGGCCTTTCCCCCTTGAGCTCCTCCCCAGCATATGCCACCGAGTGAGAAATTTCTACCGCGGGTGCTTTAATGCCATTATTGCGATAGGACGGGAAAGCCTTTATTTGACCATCAGTCTTCAAAATGAGACAGTCTGACACTTCGCCCTGATTTACTTTCCACTTCAGAAAAGATCAGAGATGACGAGCTGGATGGCGGGGGAGGCGAGGGGAAAAGGGGGCCAGCACCAGGGGATAAAACTCAGCCCTGGGGAGCTGGAGGTGACCTGCAGGAGAGAGCGGGGACCCTCGGCAGGGGGGGGCTGCCGGCGGCGCTCGGCTCACCCGCGGGATGGTCCAGCCACAGAAATTCCCCCATCACCTGCGAAGTGGGGCGCTGGCAGAAGAGAGCGGTGTACCCAGTACAAAATAACACCCCCCCCCCCC